GTCCTAACCCTGCATGCTGTCCGAGCCTCATAACAGACTGCTTACCATGACCTTTGATGTTACTGTCGACTCAATTATTATTATTACCAGTGGTGGGCACAGTTCCCCTAAAGCACTAATATACTGAAAGTTTGAGCAAAAGCTAACTCTAAAGCACTAAAATAACCCAGTCAACCCATGAACATTTTCCATGTTGCTCTCTTAAGACTTATCATAGATATGCCACAGCCTTATTTGAGTTCATACGTTTTCAATATATTGTCACCTACTGGATAAGTGACACACATATGWACAAAATGTGTGACAGTTTTCACCGTCAGCTGTTAACATTAACGTTGACCAATAACATTCATTGACCCTAGTTAGTGCTTCTAAATTTAGCCAAGTGCTAATCCACTAATAAATTTTAAAATGAGGAAAAGCCCTAAATCACTAATCAGGAAATTAGTTCCCCTATTAGTGCTTTAGTGCTTTAGGGGAACTGTGCCCACCACTGGTAATAATAATAATTGAGTCGACGGTAACATCAAAGGTCATGGTAAGCAGTCTGTTATGAGGCTCGGACAGCATGCAGGGTTAGGACTGTAACACACTCAGAAGTCCTCGAGGTTAAGGAAAAGGTCACGAGGTGGCGGTTCAGCAGAGCACACTGTGTCCTCTGCTGTTTTTTCCTCCCGAGCGCGGCAGCACACCAACTAACCATGTGTGGGGGCTGTTTTGGAGCAGATTCACGTAGGCGCCAATGAGAACGTGTTCATCGGGGAGTCTATCGGCAACATCCAGGTTGTACTTCAGCCTGGAACGGTGCGGGTTTCACAAAACATAAAACATTATGTTACACAGGTGACAACGGAGGGGACAGTCGAGGAGGAGGAAGGGGGTGGGGGGCAGAAAATGACAACAATAGAGCAGGGGAGGAGAGTGGCTGAAAAGCAGCTATTCACGGGTGACTAGAGAGGAACAAGGCCATATTATATTTGGGCGAGACTCYACTCATGAAGGCTAAAAAGCTCAACAGAAGACATGCCAGGCAACAAGAAAACTATTAGATGCACTGTTGACATCTCACAGGCATTGATCACTCCGTGCCATGCTATTAAGATTATTTAAATCCTTTTTTAGCCAACAAAATACTCAGCTGATATATGTAAAGCCTGCAAAGTTTGCTTTGATGTAGCTCTCATAGATAAACAACACAAGTAAATGCTAAATGCTCTGAAATGAATCTAGTCAACCCATGTTGACCGCTCTGTGAATTACAAACGGACCATAACAAACAATATGTKTGTGATTCAAACAATGTTGTTAAAATAATGCTTACAAAAACAGTTGAGGYTTAGCGATACAAAACTCAAATATGTTAAATCCTGAAGTAAAATGAAGATGTATTGTAGAAAACAAACTAACACTGAGGTGTTCATTCTAAATGTATGTCAAATGCAACCAAAAGACAAAATTCAAAACATAGATTATTAATAATATTCTGACATTCTGAAGTTTCTGTAGTGCACACCTCCCCAAATTCCTGCAATATTTGTGGAGGTGTGCACAGTCTGAAAAAAATCAGGCCATGCAAGTCAAACGTCTCCAACATGTAGGTAAGAACCTAAGCATGACTCGTCACTCATCACCTCATCTTTATGTTTTCTCTTCAAGGCTGAGTCATGAAAGGGAGCACTGTTCTTTTAGAAGACAGTTTCTCAGGTGCAGAGCTGCTTCAATTCTTTAGTTTCTTAAGTTACATTTTAATGTTAAAATGTGCAAAACTATAGCTAAAAGCAGCAAAACCATAGCTAAAAGCTTATATTTGCAGAATAAAGGCTAAAACTATCAAACCTGGAGAACAAAGTTAATGAAAGCAGAATAGTAGCTGAAAGCTAAATAGAGCAGAGCTGTAGTTAAAAGCTAAAAAAGTAATGGTAGCTTACAGTAACAAATGATAGCAGAACAGTAGCTAAAAGCTTAAAGTAGCAAAGCAGTAGCTAAGAGCTAAAAGTAGCAAAACCATAGCCAAAAGCTCAAATTTGCAGAATAGCAGCTAAAAGTAGCAAAACTGGAGCTTAATGATAACAATAAGCAGTGTAGCTGAAGGCAAAAATGTGCAAACTGTAGTTAAAAGTTGTAGAACGGTAGCAAATGATAATTAGAAGCTAAAAGTAGCAGAATGGCAGCTAAAAACTAAAGTAACATAAGACCAACACAGAGGCATTATGCTGAAGCAGAGAACAAGGTTTTTGACTGAATCTGTGAAATCTGAATGTATTTATGAAGAATTTTATGCTACATAAGAAGTTTAATATTTAATAAAATGACGTTGCGCACTATCCCCAATAAATGTTTCCCGAACGGTTATAAAAACAAAGTTTTCAGTTAGAATCCAAAAACCACATGGAAGAAAACTTGAACAGGGAATAAGTACCATGACTTCCAGTTTATCTAATGTATTAAATGAATCATCTACTTACATTTTATACTGGTTAGAAATGTTAGTGTTTAACAGCTGAAACTAGAACACCTCAAAGACAAATAGTAACTCAAATCATTCCTGTTAGCTGGCAGTTACACATTCTGAGTGGATAAAAACACTGTGACAGATAACCCTCACAAAAACAGGTTTGCAAATGATTATTTATGAAAACCACCAGAATAGCAAAACCCACTCTAGTTGATGGTTTATAACTACCGTCTACTTTAGTTCACACGTGCACTTTGAAGCAGAAAGACGTTCTTAAACTCGCACCTGCCTCACTTACCCCTTCCCTTTCAGCAGGTGTGGAGCAGCCCCAACGAGGGGCATTTTTCTCCCAACATCATTATTCAAGCTGTAAGGCAAGCCATTTATATTCAGCTACACACAAATGTCCTCGCACACCAACACACACACACTTTAGCCAATAAAGGAATAAAAGACAGCACGGGTCAGAGCGCCTTAAGGGAATGTGACAAGCTGAAAAGATCTGTTGTAAAAACCAGGACATCCTTTGTTAGAAAGGCTGTACTCACTTTTTGGTGGAGTAAGGGTTCCCTGATGTAGGCATGGAGTGAGAGAAGGAGTAGTCATTGGTGATGTTCACTGGTCTTGGTGGCCTGTTGGAGGGGAAACTACATTTTATTTGCGACTACTGACTACCTTACATTTTAAAGAAATAAAAGCAGCAAATGCGCTCTCTTTTTCTTATTATTATTTTCAATCTCATGACTTTCCTCCAAATCTGACATTCACTTCAATAGATGATTCATGTATTATAGAATACCAACAATTATGATTAGACGTGTCATGCTGAAAACATGCAAGAACTAAATGAGTCAGAGAAACAACAAACAAATGTGCTTGAACAGTCAGTAAATGATTATATGACTAAATTAGTCAAAACCACAGTAAAATGTAATCAAACCGAAACTCACCAAGTGTCTCTATTAAGTGAAAAGTGTAAAAGAAAAACAGAAACACTTCATTACATGCTGCTCAGAACGCACTGTACAGAATAACATACATGAAAAACAGTGTTGTATTTTGACTAATTTCATTAAACAACTTACACATGAAAAATTAAATTAACTATTGAGCGCTGCTGTTTGATATTTTTTTCAGTGCGCTGCTTTTGCTCTYGTCTCCAAGCAAACAGCCACTTGCAAGGCCAAGAAATAGCAGCGCGTTAATTTYCTCACCAGCGTGCGCAGCTTGCTTTATGTTTTCTGCTCGGCTTACACAAACCGAGCTGACAGAGTGTGTGCATCTATGCAGGTGCAACTATTTTTGTTCCAGGTACTCCTCAGCTAACTCACACAGCATCTTCTGGTAAAAAAAAAAAAAAACTCAGAAAAACAGGCAATCTGAGTCTGAAGTGGCTCGTTTCATCCAATACATTTAATAAACTAAAGCTGCAAATGATGTTTTACTTTTGTTTTTTGTTTCRGCCTACCGTGGTAGTTTATTTATTTTGAGGTTGTATGTTACTCTGAATTAGTTTTTATTGTCTCTCAGAACTGAAGTGTTTTCAGAGTCAAGGCAAAGAAGACAGGCAATGTGGATAACAAACATGTAAGGACTAAAGACTTTTCTTTTGTTTCTGAAAAAATGGACACAAAAAATGAAACTAGAAGCTAAGAGTCTCATCTCATTTATTTAGTTAATTTATTTAGGAGCATGCACAGTAATGATACACTCAAAAAAAAAAAAAGACAGTTGCATTGTACCAGATTTAGCCACTGGCTAATTTCCATCTGCAGTCGTGAGATGAGATTTGTACAGAGATATTTTAGACTCAGCAACTTTAGCAAGTGAAATGCTGGTGTACTGAGAGGCAGAAGCTTCAAACAAGGTTTCATTTTGATGGCGTATAGAATTAACCTTAAAACGATAGAAAGCATAATATGTCTCCTTTTCAATTATACTTATTTACACAAAACCACATATAGTTATAATGATAAACTGAATCCTGAAATTTAAAGCAATTAAACAGTTCTTGTTTAAAAAGTCACAAAAGACAAAAGGATTCTRGGAACACACAACGTTATTGCTCTAATGACTTTTTTTTATTTAGTATTRCTTTGTAAATTATGTTTTGTTTGAATATATCGGGGACAAAAGGGGCAGACATTATAAGATTTATTCTTCTTCTGCTACGTTTCATGTTTTTTTAGATTTTTGATTTGTGAATTTTCTTATTTTTTTGTATATAGT